AAAAAAAAAAAAAAAAAAAAAAAAAGTAAAGTACTTAATACTGAATGCCTATTAGCTGCCATTATGTTCCAACAACATAAACATTTCCTTTAAGAAAATTACAGACTGAATATGCAAGATAAAGCAACAACTAAAAAAGATACAAAATACTGTAATAGAACACAGGTATTAGAATCTCTAATGGAAAAGTTTGTATTTCAGTGTTTTGGATACTCAACTTGAAGATGCTCAACTGGTAGCCTACACAAATATTCCAAGATCTGAAAATCTCCAAAATCTGAAACTCACTTAATGCAAAGCAATTTAAATAAAGGAAACAACCCGCATAAGTAGGCCATTTTGAGAACACAGAAAAGGGTGCCCATTTTTAGCTTGGAGGACAGGAATGATCAACATTTATCTTCCTAATAAATAATATTTCAGTTTCTATGTGTGCTACAAGGAAATGAGCCAGACTTTTCTGTTTGGTTTATCTGGAAGGAATGAAAGGAAATATGGGATAAAATGCCGAAGGCAGTATTCTAAATAAAAGAATAATGTCAAGTGAAACCAGAAGTGACAACAGCACATCATTTCTGGAAAGTTGTAATTAGGCTGGATTAATAGTTCTGTTCTCTAATCTTGGCTCTATCATCATATTACTATATTAAAATTATGTGTTTTTTTTTTTAAGTACCTAAGTTCTGTAAGAAAATAACTACACCTCTCTCAACTTCGTTCTTGCTGTACAAGAGTGTACTACTTCGCATGTAAGTATGGTACAAGTACTTGTAAACTTTAAACAGGTGCTAAAGCAAATAACTGGGGGCATGGTAAGAGAGAAACCTGCAGAGTTCAAATAAACAAGAACTAGCCCCAAGGAATTTTTTTTTTTTAATCTTATAAACCATGTTGAAAAGTGTGGACTCTTTCCAATGGGCAATGGAAAGCCACTAGAAAATTTTAACATCTTTATGAAACTGATAAACCAGACTGTAAACTCAGCCAGGTTAGGAAACAGAAGATCAGAGGCAGGGAAACAAGAGGATAATACAGTATTTTTAATAATAAATTATGATAGCATAAACTAAGACAATAAACTGCAAAAACTAGTTTCAACTATAGGAAAGATTGCAAACAAGGCAGGAAGAAGAGGAAGAGGAAGAGGAAGAAATCACTAAGAACTGGCAGCACTACTGATACCTTGGTTATTAGCGATCAAGGGAGATCTCCCCTTCCCCCTTCCAGAAAATACATAAGCATCATCAAACTAGTCATCTCAGCCTTCCACCTGAGACTTCCCTGAGACTTGAAAGCCAAATGACTAGCTGAGGAGGCTGAACAGAGTAGAGTGGTCCTGACAGAAAAGCATATTCAGAGGGATGACAAAGGACAACCAGATACCAACAATTCAGTTTGAAATATGCTGACCATAAATTAAGCTACAAGAGATAAAAGAACTTAAAACAGAGAATACTGGAGAAAAATCTAATCTGTATATATAAAATGATGGAAAAAAGAGAAGAATCACCCAAATAATCCATATAGAAGATGAAAAAACCCTATGGGGTTCATAACTGAGTTCTCTTACCTGTTGTATGACAGGAGCTTGTACACCACCAGGCTGCATTTGTGGTATAACCTGTTGTTGTAGAACTACTGACTGCTGAGGCTGAAAGATATACTGGGCACCATTGGCTGCTCTGACCACCTGAAGAAGCTGGCCTAAAGCAGAAAAAAACCATGTATTCCAAGTTACTATTTCAGCAATGACCATCTCAAAATAATATGAAATGTCAAACTACAACAGAATTTAGAAATTATCAAGATGGATGTCTAACAATCTTATTGAGGGCTATCACTTATACATATAACTATAATCATTGTCTTCCCTATCCTCCTTGCACATTCAAATACTTTGCTTAAGTTCTCTTTTTCTATATGTACAGTATTAGTCTCATTCAACTGTTTTCAATAAGGGTTTAATGTGTGTGTAGGGGCACACGCCTGTAGTCCCAGCTCCCTCGAGGCTGAGGCAGGAAGATTTGCCAGGAGTTAGAGGCAGGCCTGGACAACATACTGAGTTTGAGGCCAACTGAAACTACACAGCGAGACCCTGTCTCAAAAAAGCCAAAACAAAAAGGCAAAAACCTCACAACAGATTATGGAGACTTTGAAACATAACAGTTCATTAAACTACAGCTTCATTAAACTTTTGGTTCAAAACTGCAAAAAGCAACAAAAGTTCGCTGAACTAATGATGACGGCCACACAATATTTTATGACCAGCTTATACACACAGAACCAAATGTCCCACAAATGGATTGCTTCAGATGACCCAGAATCCTGAATTAGCTAGTGAATAAATCATAGGTTAATAAAATATGTAGCAAGACAAGTCTCTAATTTGTTCTTCATGAATTTAGAAATTAACCAAATAACAAAACACAATAAAATCAAGATTACAGAGTACTTCTGAAGAGCAATTTTCATCTTCTCAATAATTACTACTGCAAATGCATATACTACAGCTCTGAGGGTTACTGTAACAAGCTAAACCAAATGGTAAGACACACAAAACATAGAAGGTTAGATGCAGTTCTCTGAAATGTTTCCATTCATTATTCTTATTTACCTGAATTTGTTAGTATTTGTTGAACAGGAGTCACACCTGCAGGGAGTGCCAAGGTAGCAGCTGTAGCAGCAGCACTCTGAAGATATAAAAACAAAGGAAAAATACAAAAATTACACATACACATAAAAGTATCTCAGTTTACCTCTATTTTAATTAAATATTTTAATTGGTATATGCAATTTTTTTGTTTAGTGTGAAAAGTTCTAACAGTAAGTCTAAATCCTATGTTATTAAATAGTATAAGACTATCTAGACAAACCCAGACATGGTGACACACACCTGTAATCTCAACACTCAGGAGGCTGAGGCAGGAAGATCACTGTGAGTTTGAGGCCAGTCTGAGCTACATAGCGAGTTCAAGACCAGCTTAAATTACTTAGTGAGAACCTTGTGTCAAAAACAAAAACAAACCCAAAGATTTAGCCAAAATAACCTAATTACTCTATTTTAAGAAGCAATATAATTATTTGGTTTGTTTGCGTTTTTTCCCTAAGAAACATACTCTAAGGAATCTCATGGGTAGATTTTTTTCTTACCTCCCTCATCAACTTTCTTTAATGCCTTCATACGTTCAATCTAACTTGTACACTTAGAAATACCCATATTAAGGACAAATCATAATTTGTATTACTGCTTCCTTTCTCATTCTTTGTTTTAAATTTCTTCTATTCAGTTAATACACGTCTTAATTTTCAGAATTTCTACTAGAATCAAAAGGTGTCCATACAAGATAATGTATCTGAAGAGTACTGCTGGGCAATCCTATCCTTCTAAGATGCTGTATTACCCAAAAAGAAAAAAGGAACATACTGGCATCATATTCTAGGTGAAATATATACATGTTGAGCATCCCTTACTCCAGATGCTAAAAACCACAAGTGTTCTGCATTTTGAATTTTTACCTTCATATACATATCTTGGGAATAAGATCCAGGTCAAAACATGAAATTAACTTATGTTTCATATACATCGTTACTCATATAGCTTAGAGGTAATTTCATACATTCTCAGTAAGTCCCAAGGTTTATCTCCATCTCTTATATAAGATCAGGTATAGAATTTTCCATTTGCATCATTTCACTGCTCCAATTTTCCAATTTTGGAACACTTTGGATTTCATATATTCTTGTCTTTTTTGTGCCCTGTGGTACTGAGGATTTGCTGGGAGTACAGGTATGTGCCCTGTTTCATATTTTCAAATTAGGGATGCTCAATATATACTAATAATAAATTTAAAGGCTTTAAATACAAGCCATGTAGTTTTAAATTCTGTATCTTAAAATGGAGCTATCATGTAATAATATTGGGACTGTATTCTAAAGTTCTTTTTTTGTTTGTTTTTCTGAGACAGGGCCTCACTATGTAGAGGAGACTGACCTGGAACTCACTATGTAGCCCTGGCTGGTCTCGAACTCAGTGATTCTCCTGCCTCAGCCTCCCGAGTGCTGGGATTACAGGTGTGTGCCACCACGCCCAGCTATTAAAGTTCTTTAAATCCAAAAATAACTTGACTATTTCTGGATAGTTCATTTTTCCTCTTGCTCTCCCTCAAAAGAATTATGTTTCTTTATTCTGTTCTTTATTTTGTACTTTCATTTATTTATTAATTGTCTTTTCCCCTCCCTCTTCAATCTTACCAAAGGTATCTAAGGTCCACACATTCATTCAACTTAACTTGTATGTTTTTAGAAGCATTCTACTCTGATCTTCTCAGGAAGACCTGGGTTGCCCCTTAGCTGTTTTCCTCAAGGTGAAGTCTTTTCCCCATTTTCTTTTCTTTCTCAATTAAAGCTTTTGCCTGTACTTTTGTGTGGTTTCAATTTTAATTTCCATTATCCCTAAAACAAGTCCTTAATCACGAGAACTTTTTTTTTAAAGGTTGAAGGTTAAAAACATCTGAGAACTCAGAATCAAAATGGAATTTTTCTAAATGAAAATCCTTATGCATCATGGAATTCTACAATTTTCATATAAAAGAGCTGAAATACAAATAGAGACCCTCGATATTTGGGAACGTTAAAAATTGAAATTTCTACTATCATGTATACAATTCTGCCAAGGTATAGATCTGTGAGGCTGCTAATGTAGGGAGGAACTGTGACATAATAGGTATGTCTGGTCTCCTACAGCTATTTTTTCAAAAACAGCAGACAAAAGACCTATCACAAAGCACTATCCTTTTGGTATTTTACCAGAAAATTGCAAAATTTTTAAATGTCTAAGTACCAAGTTAAACTTTACAACTGCTGCTAAGTACAATATTTGGGAAATTTAAAGGGGGGAGAGCTCTTTTGTCCAAGTCTTCAATGATCTTAAATTGTTACTATACAACTTATCTAGGCAAATCCACAATTTGGATTAGACTATGTGTTAAGCCAATCTAAGAGTTGTGTCCTATCTCTTACCATGTTTGAGGCATTCATATGTTGTATCAGCTTAGAATCAGGAACAATGACTTGTGGTGCTGTAGCTACAAGAAAAAACAAGCACACATGCAAACAAAGACACATGAGGCTATTTCATAATCACAGGAATAATCTATATGTTGAATTTCATGTTTTTCACATTTTCTGCATTAGAACCCTTAACCATTTGATTTCTATGGAAAACAACAATTGTGTTATGTCCACTCTATACTAAAAATCTAATAAAAAAATTTAAATTACAATACAAGGATACAAGGGAATTTAGAAACAGGAAAATAGTGAGATACTCAACATGTGAATACATTTCTTCCAGAGTTTGATAACCAGTAGCAAAAAAAAAATTTCTGTGCATTCTTAATAAAACAGAATTTTCAAATGTAATCAACCTTGCTTTACTCAGTATTAACTGTTTTACTTAATATAATGTACTAGTTAGAATGAGCTAACTTATTGAGAGCAAGCTCAAAAAGCTAAACTATTTTTAATTTACACAGACCTTTTTTTCCAACCTGACAACTACAACAATCATGTTTCTTTCATCAACTGTTTAAAACTACAAATCAGAAATTATGGTAATGTTACTTAAGTGTAAATGAAATTGTCTGATTCCGCAAATTTCAGAGAATAGACAAGACAATCCCATTATCTTAATATTCTCTGAGTGAAAAAAATCAAATTTCAATTTATGATGACCTAAAATCCTAGTGCCAGGTCTCAAAGCAATAGGAGGAACAGTCATCAAAGATTAAAAAGATACAATAATTTGATATAAGGTTCAGATTTAAAATAGGGTATTGATATAAATAGTAAAACAAATAAGCAGTGAAATAACCCAAACAGAACTTTCTACTGTTTATCATCAACTTTCTTACATATATTCTCAGATGAGACAAATAGGTACTAAATGGTTACCTTAAAATTTTCATTTACAGTTAATTCCTCTCCAATGAAAAGATTCACTAAAGTAGAATGCTCAGGAAATTTTGTAACTGACTTGATGTTTGTCATTCGGGAAAAATACTTGCTACATGCAAAGGAGTCAAGCTTCTTAGCCTTTCCAGGCCAGGATTTTCCCCAGCTGTGAAATAATACTAAAAGCTCTATTTCAAAAAAACCTACATAAGATATTAATGAGAGTATAAAATAACCTGCACATCACAGTGTTTGGAAACAGAAAATTTATTAACTGAGATATTACTGTATAGCTCTCTTGAAAGAAAATTAATGTAATGCAATCTTTTGTTTACCAAGCACCTCTTAAAAAGAAGATTCAAGAAACCCAGAGTATTACTTTGGAAAAAAACTCTATTTGGGCTGTAATAGGTAAACAAATTCAGTCTCACCTTGCTGTGATGCAGGAATAAGGACCTGCTGGGTCTGTGCTTGCTGAGGTACTGTCTGCTGAGGTTGAGCTTGCTGATGGTGGTGGTGGTGGTGGTGTTGCTGCGGCTGGGGTTGATGCTGTTGCTGAACTTGCAATAAAAGCTGCTGTTCTTCTGAATGAAATCCATCTACTGCCCTAGATTGCATCAGTTTACTCTCCCACAGCTAAGGCAAAGAACAGTAAAGATTTCTAAGTGAAATAAGAATAAATAACTGGACATTTGGACAAAATATAGATTTTTACTAGCCGTTCACACCTAGCCCCACCTCCTGGGTGGAAACTGGGGAAGTGAACCTAGGGCCTTCGCAATGGGTGACATCCCAACCTTTTAAGACACGATCTCACTAAGTTGCCCGGGCTTGGTGCAAACTGATGATCCCCTGCCTTAGTCTCCCAGAAGGCTGGGATTATAGACATGAGTCACAATGTCTCACTAAATATTTCGATTTTAAAAATTTATAGAACCACAAAATAATCACTAATTCTTATGCAAGTATAAACAACAATGAAAACAAATCTTTAAAGAATCAAACCTCATCTGCATTTTAGTGTACGAAAGAATTTTTCCTTTTTTATATCTTCAACATTTTCTACAATAATCCTTTAACTGGCAGATACTGCTAAACAGTTTTATATGACAAATTTTTTAGTAATCAAAAATATCAATATCATTAATGATTTATGCAATTCTTTTCTTAATACAAAATTTTTCTGCCTCTTAAATAACAGATAAACAACAAAATCATCTCTTCTTAATTTGGAAAAATGAGAAACACAGAGGCAATCCCCAAGGTGTAAGAGCCCCAACTTTTCATCTGTTTAATCCTGTGAGGAAAAAGAAACAGTACTGCCTGATGCTCTTACAGGTTTTCCCAACACTTTTTTTAATTGTGCAGCTATAAACATACGTATGCATATGTCACTGGTATGATGACTTAAACTTTTTTTTTTTTTTACTTTAACTTTTTAAAAATTAATTTTAGGTACATTTTAGGAAGACAATATACTGACTTATCATTGGAAATTTGTACCTTTTACATAATCTATCTTGGTTCTTATTATTTCCCCATTCTTGAAATTGCCTTCCTTTTTTTCCCATTATGACAAAGACTAACAATAGTTTTCATTTTTGCTTTAGCAACTTCTACATGCTGAGCATTCCAAATCCAAAAATTCCAAACATTAAATGATCCAAAATCTGTAACTTTTTGGATATTGACATGATACCACAACTGGAAAATTCTACAACATGAAATTTTGCTTTAGGTAAATTACTAGAAATGTATAAAATTACCCTGAAGCTGTAATATAAGGTATATATGAAAAAAGTTAATTTCATATGTACACACAAATGTGCCAAAATCTGACAATTTCCCAAAATCTAAAGTAAGTATTTCAGAAAAGGGATACTCAGCATATAGTTTCTCATTTCACTGTAGGGATAGATAAGAAGTCAGTGAAAGACAAAAAGGAGAAAAAGAAAATATCTGCAACTATTTCATCCTTTCTCCTAGCACATTTCCTCTACCAGGATTAGTGTTCAATCTGAAATCTCAACTCTGTAAGAAATTACCCAACAAGGTCATAAACCAGCCCTTGAAAATAGAAGTGAAACATCTCCACATACTTTTTCTCTTCCACCATCTACTCTTGGGATACCTCCTCACTCATCTGAGGTTTCTACTACATCCTTTAAGTTCCCCTTGCCATAAAGAGACTTTTTACTAATCTCCCAACCCCTTCCCATTCTAAACATTCTAGATTTATGTACATCTCTAACAGTTTAATAAAATAGCAAACAATTTTGCCAGGGCAACCATCCCCTAAAAGGACCAGTACAGCTATTCTGTGTTTGATGACTGTTCTGACTTACAGCCTGCTGCTTGAACTCACAACCTGTTTTTTGTTTTTGTACAATTCTATACATCTTGTTGACAGAGCTTCAGTGTCTTTTTTGGGGGTCAGTACACCTTGTTTGTACAGTACTGTAACTTTGATGACTGAACTGTACCATAGTACTGCATGCAAGAGTTATGCAAATAAAAGCAAAGTCATCAAGCTGAAGTTTCCTTTGACTATTTCTTTGTTCTGAATATTGTAATGTACATACTATATACAATTCCTCATTTAGCGACCCATTCATTTAATGTCCTGGTGTCAGGAACCAACTCGGTCATTAAATGAAGAGTGCCTGTATTTAATCTTGTCTGAAATCTATTCTTCCAGAGATAGTAACCATATGTTTCATGATGGTTGTGAAAATTCAGTAATATATCCATGTAAAAACACTATCAGTCTAAAGTCAGTGGTAAATAAAAGTCAACTAATATTACAGAAGTCAGGAAATCAGTTAATCTTAGTATGGCTACAAATGAGGCCAAAATCACTTATCTTTCTTAGGCATTTTCCTCATCTAAAAAGGGGAAAAATGAATAAAATTACTTCTAATCTTACTTTCAGCTAATAAATCTAGGCCTCTGCAAATTCTAAACTAAATGCAGCTAGTTTCCTTCTGTAGTAACAAAGCACTATTTTCTAGGAGTTCAAATTTGTCTGGTTCATTTCTGTGAAGTGGGCTCCTCAAATAAGGTATTATCAAAATAGACACTTATTTGTCAAAGAAAACACATTAATGTATAACATATGGCAAAGTTCTCACTGTTATCACCCAAACCTTCTGTAATCTCTCTTCTTCTTCCAAAAGAAAATAAAATCTCTGCTTGTGGAAAAAGAAAAAAAGACTATTAATGTTTTAATAAGATGTTTTTAAACCATTATTTTTATGACTCATATCCTGAGCAATATGGGGCTGGTTGGAGAGAGATTTAATAGAGGTACTCAAAATGATGCACAATATAAAACTTTTGAACTGTTTATTTCTGGAATTTTCCATTTAATATTTTCAAACCACAGTGACCACATGTAACTAAAACCTCAAAAAAGTAGAACTGGGGCTGGGGATTTAGCTCAGTGGTTCTGCCACCACCTGACTCACAAGTGCATGGACCCGAGTCTAATCCCTGGTACCAAAAAAGCCCAAAACAAAGCAGTAAAATTGCATAGAGGAAGACTACTGTACTTATTTACATTTACGAAAGCAGATTCTTGGATCCCATTCTACTATCCCTATAAAGTCAAGACATTCTAGAGCAGGAACGTCAAAATTTGCATTTAACTAGCACCCTAGGTATTTTCTCCCATTCTAAATAGCAATTGCCTTAGGATGGCACATTTCCCAGAATATAACATACCTAACTTTTAAACTACACTCATTGTGATCAGTAGTTTTTCTCTCAAAGATGCATAGCAAGTCAAAGATTAAAGGCATACAGGTTCAAAGAAAAGCAGTCACTTATTACCCATGTATGTTAAGAAACAGTTCTACTTTTGTAGTGACTATACTGAGTCTACTTTATTAAAGTATAAACATTTTCAGGGCAGTCTGTCTTACTTAGGATCTAAGAAATGACTAAAAATGTACCAGCCATCTAGTACTAGATCCAAAGAAAAAAATGGAAAACAAACTATTCTAGAATATTGTTTCTCTGTAAGGATGCTACCAACACTTTAGACAGGGCAATTCTTTATCTTATAGAACAGCCCCACAGGAAATGCAACATTCCTGGTTCCTGCCTATTAAATGCCAACTGTCTACTAGTCACCCTAACATATGAACACAGCCCAACATTTTCAAAAGCTCTGCAGGGGTTACTACAGTAGTCCACTGAGAATTGGTTATTTACCAAGAACCATAGCACTATTCTAGGTAGCATAAAAAATACAAAAATAAAATCATGTTAGTACTGAGCTTAGTAATCAAATAATGCAAAATTTGAATTGATTCTATGTTCAGTGTCTCTTCTAATTTATACCTTTTTTCTTTTTTTGGTGGTACTGGGTACTGAACCCCAGGCCTCCATACTGAGCTACATCCCCAGAGGACTCACCTTTTTAAATTTTTGAGACAGTCTCATTAAGTTGCTAAATTGCCCAGGCTGGGCTCAAACAGGTTATGTGCCACCAGGCACAGCTAAAGCATAGAATGTTTTCATAAATAAAATGTTTAAAATTAGCCAGTAATCCCTGCACTCTGGGTGGCTGAAGGGGAGGATTGCTAAGTTTGAGGACAGCCTAGGCAACTTAGCAAGGCTCTATCTCAATATAAAAATAAAGGGCTAAGGAGACAGGTCATGCAAAGGCCTTGGGTTCAATCTGCAGTACTGAGGGAAAAAAACCAAAAAATTATTGGTTGTTGACAAATGGAGCACTGTTTTGGCAACAGTAATCACTGTGCCATAATTCTATGGAAGACAACTAGGAATACAGAATTGTTTTTTATTTGTTTTGCTTAGAAAATATGAAGAATCCTTTCCTTCTTAGTTTTACATATTCTCTTTTTTCCAAGTAGCTATTATTTCTGGCAGCCCTACTTTTGTAATTTTTGCCTCAATGTCTAAAATTGATAAAGTTCATATTCTGTTCCTCAAATGATGAAGATGTATATTTGTAGACATGTTAAGTAGATGTTTCAGTAACTAAAATTTATTAAGTGCAGTATTTTATATGCAGACTTTTCACAAAATAACCCTATAAAACAGACATCATCACCCTTTTATAGAAAAATAACCTGAGGAAGTAACTTATCCAAGATCAAACTGAGATATAACCTAGGCAATCTGACTCGTCTTAGGGCTGAATTTTGCACTGAGTACCTACCTTGCCTCACTGTGATTTCAGCTTCAATCCAAGCTTCTAATCTCTGAACTTATACTACTAGTCTCAGACCATCTGATAGCTTCCTTTTCACTATTAAGCACTGTTTGTCATAAAAGATGAAAGACCTAGGTTCACATCTATACACTAAGGGTACTTGTCAATGCACAATGTGTGAAGCTACTTTCTGATGTATAAAATGTGATGACCTACTGCTTCCTGGCAATATGCTAGGCTAGAAATTCTGAAGGTGTCCCCTATTTTAATAAAACATCTAGTTCTTGAATAAAACATATGAGCAATTCCATTTTGGGGCTTCCAAGAAATGTTAAGGAAACATAAGGTTTCCCTAAGAGCAAAGCAAGTAAAAAATAAAGTACTCAACTTATGGTGCAAGTACTGATATACCTAAGAGTATATTAAGTATCTACATATAACTAGAGTACATTTGGGGGTGGTTCTAGATTGGGGATTTTGCACCTTGCCCCTTAGAGATGTGGTTACATTTAGAGATATTTTGGTCACAACTGCAGGGTACTACTGGCATCTAGTGGGCAGAAGCTAGTTATGCTAAGGTGTTAAAATGAATAGGACCAAAAACAAACAAACAAACATGGCCCACTGATGGAGCTAGTCGACCTTAATTTTTAAAAAAACAAAATGCTGGGGAGAAAGTCCCCAGAGCTCAGTTCTACAATATAATTACTTTGATTTTAAGTTCACAGATTGTGGCCAAACGAAAAACTCAGCAATGTTAGCACTTTTAAATAAAGGATACTTGTTTGAAAAAAAAAAAATGAATAGGACAAGCTGGGTGTGATGGGACATGTATATAATCCCCGCACCGGGGAGGCTAGGCTAAGGCAGAAGAACTGAACAAATCTGAGGCCAACATGGGCTACCAATGTTTCAAAAAAAAACAAACAAATACAAATAACAACAACAACAAAGACTGAATAGGACAGTCCTTGCAATATAATTAACCAATCCAAAGTATCAGTAGTGCCAGAGCAGAGAAACCTGAACTAGGCACAGATAAAAATGAATCTCATTTTTATTTACAACTGAGGAAACTCTTCTCATTTTTTTGGTTTGTTGTTGTTGTTTTTTTTTTTTTTTTTTTTTTTTTTTTTTTGTATTTTTGTTTATTTTGTTGTTTTTTTTTGGTTTTTAGACAGGGTCTCACTATGCAGTTGAGACCTCACTGTGTAGCCCAGGTTGGTCTCGAACTCACAGCAATCCTCCTGCCTCAGCCTCCCTCAAGTCTGGGATTACAGGCGTGTGCCACCACGCCTGGCTCTTCTCATTTTATCAGAAAGAAAGGTTATGTTTTTGTATTTCACATGGTACCTGCCTATTTTGATAGGATAGATCTGAGTGTCTGGAAATCAGAAATTAAATAAATATTCACTTTAAAGAGAATTTTAAGACTATCATCCCCATTTGCTCACCAATCCAAAACACAATGTATACTCAAATATGGATTTACTAACAGAGCCATCTTATCTATCTCCCATAGGTCACACATTAAAATTGGACCATAGCAATTCAAGAAATAACCTCAAAGAATGGCTGATATTTTAAAAACTATCACTTTTTCTAGTAAACCCTTAAAATTATATGCATTCTCATCAGGAATCTGATTCACACTACAGTCTTTTCAGCTTTATGCAAGTTTCCATAAGTTTGTGAAATGCCCTTGTAAAAGGAGAAGGGGCTAAAACTACATGGTAGTCTTTATTCAGGAGTCATAAAATATAAAATTAATATAAAACAATGTTCAAACCTGCATGTTCCAATATGGCAGCCACCAGGCACATGTGGTCATTTAACTAAAATAAATAAGAATTAATCTCTCACTTCCTCTAATTATATTTTTAAGTGCTTAATAACTATACATGACTAGTGACTACCATAATGGAGAAAACAGATACAGAACATTTCCATTACTGCAAAAAGTTCTTTGGAGCAAGGCATAGTGATGCATACCTGTAATCCCAGCCCTCAGGAGGCTGAGGCAGGAAAATCACTGTGAGTTTGCAGCCAACCTGGGCTACACAGTGAATTCAAGGCCAGTCTGGATTACACTGTGAGACTCCGTCTCAAAAAAAAAAAATCACAAAATGTGGATGATGCTGTTAAATTTAGGGCACATTACGGATTTCTAATGAGATCCTGAAGAAATTTAGTGTAGCGAATTAAAGTTGTTAACTCATATTAGTCTTAAGTTTTAACTTCCACTGCAACCCAGAAGAACACATCTCATTTAATAACAATGAGAGTATTAAACAATTTTGTTCAGTTAGTCTAAAGCTGCACTGGTTACTAACCAGTACAGCTGAAGATTTACTGGATGTTACAGGCATTGTGGTGAAGGCTGGGGATTCAAATTTGAGTAAACTGCACTTTCTGTCATTAAAAACTAATTAAGTATCACTTCCATAACCTAGAAAACATCCTTGTATATATCTAAAAAGTCAAATGTATGAAAATGTAAATCAAGTAATTTGATGTCAAAGACTATTTTCTTTGGAATCTCTTATTAGGGACCAAGAAGAAAAATCAATTCTCCAGATTTTCACTGTGCAAAGCAAGAGTAGATAACAACTCAGACTGACCACTGACCTAAGATAAACTACTTGAAAATCTTTTTGACTGATTTTTCTGCACCTACAAATGCTAAGGTTCCAAAATCGAAAGCTCAACCTCTAGAAGTGTACATAAATTGGAAAATATTTACTCCAGTAATACTGAAGAATCAAAAGCAGCTTATTCTCTTATTAGTCATATCCCTGAGGTACTTCATGCTGTTTGAGCAGTATACAGTGTTCTTCCAACTCATGTTTTGTCTCATAATTGGCATTCTTACATTTGCATTTTTAGACAACTACTTTTCACTATTAATAGCCCTTACATTTCTCTCAGGGTAAACATATTTCCTCATTCTAAACTTGCATTTTCCTTCCTCACACAGATTTGTATTGGAAACTCTAGAAAGTTACTCACAGAAGGGTGAACACACTTAGGCATATTTTATCACCACGACAAAAAAAGAGATTGGTTTCATTTAAAATAATGAGTTGCTAAATTGCAGCCTCCACATCTTTATTGAATGAATAAATAAGACCATAACAAATGCTCCTTAGCATTTACTTATGGGTTATTTATTTATACACAGCTCTAAAGGAATTCAATACCCAATTTCTAAACCAACAGTACTAAAACATTTTAACGTCAGAACCCTTTATCTCTTTCAAAAATTACTGAGGACCCTAAAAGCACTTTTATGTTTGTGAATACTATTTATAGTTATTGTGAGATAAGAAATATTTTAAAATATTTACTAATTCACTTAGAAATAAAATGCATACATTACATGTTAACGTAAGATTTCCTAAAATACAGTAACCATGTTTTCCAAATAAAAGTGCAAAGTGACTCATGCCATACTCTGCATTTCACATTACTATTTTGGTTGAAGTACATGAAAAAAAATTTGCTCTCCAAGTTAGGTAGTTGGAGGGGAAAAAGTATTTTGAATGATGAGTTCTTATAAATTCTACAATGTAAAAATGTGAAACCTTTTACCAATGAACTGTTCATACTGTTAGATAAAATCAGTTAATTTGTCTTGCACTTTGAATAGATTTTCAACATTATGCAGCGGCCATTTAAATGAATTATGCAAATATTTCAAGTATCAATACATCTCATTAAGGAATCCCAAGCAACCAAATTTCCTATCATCACTGATTCACATTCTTTTAATATTCAGTTCTTCAGAAGAAGTATGCATAAAGTGAAATTGTACTGCCTAAGAAACATCATCTCAAGGAAGAGCACTTGTATGTTTGAGTTGTGCGCCAGTCGCTTTTCTCACAGAATAGTTTTTATCTAGAAGAGTGACAAACTACAATTTCTCAGACTGGACATATAGTCAATCTCTGAATAGAACCCAGGAATCCAAAGACATACTATACTTTGAAAAACCTGTATTTTAACCAAGAGAGCAAAAACATCCCACAATTTCACTGAGTCACAACAACACTAGAAAAACTCAAATCGAATTTTAAGAAATCTAACCCGCTCCCAATGCAGAATATATTATAAACCTAACTTTGGCCCACTCACCAAGGATCTGACTCAAAAACTTAAAATTCTTTTATTCAATTCTTACAACTTAAAACAAATTTGATCATACAAATATATTAGGAGCATTAAAAACTTTTTTTAAAAAAAAAAACCTGTTACATGCATGTCAAGTAATTAAACCATAAAATGTAGCGTTAGTTGTCCAATAGTCATAGCTAATGCTAATACTAAACACTGTGCTAAGCATTTTATATAGCTATTGTATTTAATCCTCAAACAACTGTGGAGGGAAAATGTAAGGAAAATGAAATACAAAAGTAGTTTGCCAGTCTTACCCTGAGGACCTACACTCCCTTCTGAGCATATACTTCTTTGATTCTAAATCTGCTTATGCCTCTACTCAAAAAAATGTAAAAAAAACGAAGTAAAAAAGGAGTTTGCCTAATGTCAGGGGAAGAATGAACGGTAGAAGAGATTTTAAACTACACCCTACCCTAAACTATACTACCCTCCTTCAAATCAAACATTCATCCTATGAAAAAATTATAAATTCATTTCTGAGTTAAGAGAATGGTGACAGACTGGAAAAAAAAGAGAAACTCACAGTTTTTAGTTCCATCAAGACTTGTTCATCCACTCCATCATCCAGAAAGATGTCCCTCACATCATTAATAACATCTTCAATCACAGATCTATACAATTTAGGCTTTAAAGGAAAAAGAGTCTTTAAAAAGATTGTTTTTTAACAAATTTTCACAAATTCAACAAATATAAGTTATTTTGCCAAGGATCTAAACCTTATTTTGGAATGCAAAGCTTTAAAGATATAGCCATTGTAACTGTTTTAGAATTTAAAACCTTAAAGATATGGCCATTCCAATAAACATTATCTGCCCTTGCTAAAATGGACTCAATGTAACTCATAAATCAATTTCCATTAATAATTTCCTATGTTGTAGTCAAAAACCTAATATAATGTTTAAACATAGTTCCATAGTTTCATACTTGGTTTAATCCCTGCTTTATCGAATAATCATGATATTAAGTCTTAAGACCCTGACAAATCGTATTTCCAATAGCCTTCTGCCTGGTAACAACTAGCAAGCTAATGAGTGTTCAAGTTTAGAAATCACCTCGCTTCTCTGTTTTGTGACCTCCTCTGTACCTTCAAGCTATACCATTAAACTGTTAATATACCCACAATTACAGGTCTCAAGGTCCCAGAAGAACAAGGAACACTGATGCCTTTAACATGATTATTCTGTTTTTATTCCCACCCAGGTGACACAACGGAACAAAATCATCAACATCCCTGTACGTTCATTTTACTATTACTATCATTACTGTGTTGATATCGCTTGTAACGTACTTGGGGTAGAATGGAGAGGCTGGCTTCTAGATAATTATCTGAAGAATAAAATGAGACCAGATGTGAAAGTACTTTAAAGGATTTTTTTTTTTAAACCAAAAGGAGGGAGTGAACAATCAGCCTAACCCACATCCTATCTGTAACCTGTTACACAAAGGGAAGTTTGCATGTCAGATAATACAGTAGCTGCCTCCCTATTAATCACAGCCAATATCAGAGAACAAATGTTAACAACGTTTTGTTTAATGTTTTGCCATTGTTTTACACCTTGCTTAAGGTAAAATTTACAGGCCACCCAATAAAACCAAATGCTTGCCCTCATAAGCAAATCCAAAACAGAAATAAATACTTCATTATCATCTCTATTGGCAGTAGGGAAATCTCACGAAAATATGTTGTCTAGCCAAAAGTACAATGAGTTTGTCAGGACAGTATACCCTGACCATTAAAAACTTTTAATTTCTTTTCAATTTTTTTTTGTTGTTACAACCAAAATAATTTAAATATCTGGGTTTCCGCTCATGTTTCACTTGCTGATCAGCTTTATTTTGCCAAATCCGCCTGTGTGAATTTTATCAGTGAAATATGCATCTCTACAGTTCCTACCTATATAAGTACATCCGACAATGGATATACCTTCAGTGATTTAATTACTGAATTACAAAAGTTAATTGAAAGTATTTTCTACTCGTTATGACTCAAGGCATTATAAATAGTGTAATTTTAAACTGGAGAGATAGACCTCAAACTGATGATATACAGTATACAAGAGCTGAGCAAAAACAATAGTGTGTTTATTACAATAAAGGACACCCTGCCATTATTGCCCCTCAAAATAGTCCCACTCTTTTCAAACACACTTATCCCATCCTCACCACTGTCTGCAGCAGTTCTGGACATCCTCCTTTGTATATTTTCATGGCTGCCTTAATGTCCTGAATCAATTCAAAACTTTTAAGGGATTATTGTGTGTTTCATTCACCTTTCGCACCCGATCTGGCACCGTGGAACTTCTGGCTCTTCCCCACAGTCAAAATGACTGTAAAAAGGTAAATGTTTTTAATACATTCAACACACCCAGGCAGCAACAACTGTACAACTACACACAAGCACAAAATATGACTTCCAGAACTGCTTAAGTGGCAAGAACGCTAGACAAGTGTGTTCGAAGACAGGGTGAGTATTCTGGAGGATTAATGGCAATGTGTCATTCACCATAATTTTTTTAAATAAAATGTTTATATTATTTTGGGTCAAGCCTTATATGAATACTTCTCCCCCAAACTAAATGTTTTGATGTTTCTGAAGCCACCCTAAAATATTTTGCTCCAGAACTTCTCTATGTCTGGTATTTCCTATTTAATCAATTATACTTTAAAATCGTGCTTTTGTGTCTTATTGAACCCCAAACTTGATCATTTACCCAAGTCAAAAGCATTAATGTTAAAGGGAGAAGAGAAATGTGTTGTCTTCACAAAGTACATACCGAGAGAATAATTTAACAGAATTGCTCATAATTTGAAGTGCTTAACATTTTTAAAAGCATGTGGGTACGTAGGGAGTCACTATCTGAAATATGCAATTTCTAAATTATTTATAATTCTAAGCTTTACCTGAGCCTTTTTTTTTTTTTTTTTTTTTTTGCCTTTTACGGTATTTTACTACACAGAACAATTTGTCAGGTTTAAGAAAGAAATATTCCAAACTTTAAAACTGTTAAACTAGAGGGTCATGAATGACATCAAGTGATAGACACATTAGAAGGTTCCTTTCAGAAATATCAGTTCTCTGATGCAATGCTGGAAAGTAAACTAGATCAATTTTTTATACAAGCTACCATGTCCAGTGCAATACAAACACTGCCTACTTAGAATTTTCAAGAATTTTGCTGTAAGACACCTCATTCTCATTAGTCACAATTCCCCTTCACGGACATAAAGACTACATACAGGTGGAGACTTAAGTCATTTATTTCTATGAAAAGCTTTGTATCTAGGTAATTACTGGAAAACACAATGAAAGGAGCTATACCTGTAACACATTTCCTGAATACTGTTCCTCAGTAACAAATACTACCAAACCTGTCTTCTGCAGCTAACATTTAAACTCGAAAAGCATTTTAAATTTCCAACAATGCAAGCACATTTCAAACCAAGAAAAATGATCAGACCATCTGATCGAAAATTATTTTAAATTTTAAATAGACAGCAATTCGGGTTATCATTTCCCCTAACAAACAAAGAAGATACATCCTAGCTGCTATTGCAGCGAAGCAAAAACTTGGGGCTCGGAAAGCAGAGCCTGCGGGGTGCGAAATTACAGCGATAAGAAAAAGACCTAGAAATAAACTGCGCGGCTGCACGCGCCCGCCTCTCGCCTCGGGAGCACGCACTCCCAGCCCCGCTCTGAGCAGCTCTCACTATTTAAAGCCGGATCTGGTGTTTAAATGGAGAGGCGGTGACGTAGGCCTGAAAAGCACCTTCCCATCCTGGCAGAGTCTATATTAGAGAGCGGCAATGGCTCTATATAAACAGGGCAGCCAAAGGGAGGAGGACCACAAGGCTGAGGGACTGAAAAGCAGGGTAAGCGGCCGCAGCCATGATGGATCGACCCGAGTCGCCAACGGTACGGTGTCGGGCGGCCGCGGGCTTGGCTGCAGCCTTTGGGACCGGGCAAAAACGTGTTTTGTCACAATAAAAATAAAGAGTTGGGTGGACTAGTGATCGCATTGCGTTGGTGACTGAAAAGGTTATTTATGTGACTGCTTTTTGCAAACCTACGTGATCGCAACGAACCAAAAAGGGACAAGCGGGAAGTAGGCAAATTTCAAGGCGAAAGCGGGGGCACTTTGACCACGGCAGGTTTTTGTTTGTTTTGGTGCTTTTGCTAGTGCGAGATACGATGAGGGTTTTGCTTCCCCTTCGCCATTTTACCCGTTCGGAAGGAACTGAGATAAGTGCTTTTCAACCTTCGTCTTTAAAAAAAA